ATTCCTGCCCGTCAGGGTACTACGGACTCCGAACGCCAGATATGAACAGATGTTCAAGTGAGTTTCTTTTTGAATCCTTACAGTTCACTTCTGTGGGAAGGCCATAATTCACACTCAGTTTTTGAGATGATGTGTTGTGGAACATGGTGGTATTTTCACAGATGTCTCAAGATCATCCTAAAACGTCTCTGGCTAAAGAACACCCCAGCTCATTACAAGATATGTAGTATTCAGTGGGTTAAACAGTTGATGCATTAACCTTGTTTTTGTTGTTGTTATATTTATTGTTCTTATTGCTTTAGTTAGAAGAGAAATTTAGGAAAGAATGATGATTTAAGCAGATATTCTAGTTTTAACAAACTAATTCCCACTACATGAAAATAGAAAGGATTAAGCATTAATTTAGCACTGCCTTAGGTAGGTACTAGTCAGTATGTATGCTGATATATGGGTGGGCTTCTTGTTGTGTTTTTTATTCCCACACAAAGTTCAGGTGACCAGACACCTCACACCAGACATGCTTTAATATGTAAGTGTTGCTATTTTAATAAAACAGATGTACCATTAAAAACAAACAAACAACCTTTCACTTTTAGTACTGTATTTTATTTGGAAATTTACAACCTGCTAATGTGCAACAAGATTCCCTGTTTGCATGTTTGTGCCTAGAAGCACAACTGTTAAAATCAGCAAGTGCTCTGGTATCTCTACACATTATTTCACCACTGTCTGGCAGTTGTGTCGATTTGTGTTGATTTTTCCATATGTTCGTATGTGGAGTATTCCCTGTATGGATTATTAATCATTGCTATTACCTCTAAATCACATTTATGTGGGTTTTTTTGTTTGGATTCTTTTTTGTTTGTTTGTTTTATTTGCATGTGTGTCATAGTCTGACCAGAGTTAGGTCGCTGAACCTGAGAACCTGAAGTGAGAAATAACTTTTCTTTGTTTCTTGGAATAATCAAGAGTCTGTTAAATGCACAGCACTCTGCCTCTCAGTACTGCAGCATGTCACTGGAATGCACTGCGTTGTGAGAAAGTGGGTGCTGGTTTTCATGTCACACATAATCTTGAGACTCACATGAGGTCACTTGGTGGCAGTCTGGGCTGGACGAGGAGCAGTCATGGCCATGTTTGGACCTGTCTCAACCTGTGCTGTGGCATTCTGCCTCCTCCCCATTCCCTGTGAGGGCTCCATGGATATGATATTCTTCACCTTGTGTTCCCAACTGCTGTGAAATATTGTTGAGTGTTGCCTTACCTATACCAGGTGGGTAGGTTTTGATGAAAAATTAAATGAGACCAGTATATGGTGTATGTATCCCTTCTGTAGAATACTTTAGGAGCTTGGCCTTAATTGTTATAACATGTTTGTGAATTCAGCAACTCGTCCACTTCAAACCTTTCAAAACTGAGCTATAAAAACTTGCCCATGTAAAAATGTTGTTGAATATAATTGCAACCTTGAGAAATAGATTAATCTATCTTTATTAGCCTGCATTATTATTTTGAGATAGCAAAAGCAATGTGTATTAGTAGTCTTTCTTTTTTTTTTTTCCTTTTAAGAATTTGCAGAAGGTGGATGGTGAATTCCATAAAACTTATGTTCGCTTTTACCACTTAGAGAAAGTGGCCTTATTCCCTGAATTATAGGATTGATTTAGAAAAGCATCAATGCAAACTCTGTCCAACCCATATTGACATGTGTTGAGTGTTAGATGTTTAACTCTCCATCATGCTTTTTACAGTGTCTCTCTGTGAGAGGAAGGATGCAGTTGCATTTATTGACCAGTCCTGATTCCCCTCCGATGGTTTTTGTACTACATATTTTTATTCTAGTGTCACTGCCAGCTGGCATACTTAAAAATAACACCTTCCTTCCTTTCTTGGTTTAGTGATCTTGCATGGCACATATTTTGCATAGTGGACACACAGACATTTTGTGGATTGAAGTTGAATTAAAATAAACAGTCTTAAAAAATAGAATAGGTTTCTTCCTTCTTGATGTTAGATACTTTTAGGTAGGCTTAGTTACAGACACTAGTGCTCAGATAGTACTATTTCAGCTAAAAATAATAAAAAATCTGGCTATGTTAACATTCTGGGAGTTACAGGGCTTGAATTACATAAGTTGAAATTATTCCTGCCCTATTAGTGTCTTTATAGGCACAAAAGCTGTTTAACATTTTATTACTGGAACACTTGCCCATTTTTGTTAGAGAAGCTATAGAACATATTTTTATGGAAAATGATGACATGATTTTAAAAGCCAAACATATTTAGTGCCAAATGTAACATAATAAATACCACAGCCAAGTGCAGCAGCTCTAAAATGATGGAAATTTTGAATTTCAAGACTAATATTCTTTTCTACATATAAGTAATATGTGTGTCTTGAATTTGCTCTGTTGCTCTAGACTGTTTTTCTAGTAACAGTGAATCATGTAATTTTGAGACTGCTTGTCTCTAGAAACTGATGCAGAGTTTCGTGCTGGAGAATCTTTTCATCTTGAACACTAAAGTATGAAAATGTAGTACATCTGGACAGAAAATTGGAAAGTGTTGAGTCTTTTCTGTAGAAGAATGCCCAAGAGAAGAGCTACACTTTGTTAATTTTCCAAGAAATTGCATTAATTAATGACCTTGAATGGAACTGCTCCAACAAGAAATAATCTCATGAGGAAAATGGAATTAAATAGCAAGATGAAATCTGTCACCTGGGTGGTTGCTTCAACATTGGTCTGATTAATGGATCAGGCCTATCTTGAACCTTTCAACTTGGTTTGTATCCATAGTAACCTCTACAATTTTAGGGGGAGGAAGCACTCTGAGTTTAGAAAATATAGCTCCCTTCAGCTTTGCTTGGCTACTTCATTTGTTTAGGTTCACCTTTTTTCTCAGAGGAGGGGCCAACATTGCTGAAGTTGTAATTTCGCCTTCCATGAGCCTTCAGTAAAACCAAGAGCAGCTTTTAAACAAATGGAGCATTTATTAAACATGTGTAGTTAATTCACTGTATTAATAAAGATAATTATTTTTTTAACTTTGTTAAAAAATAGCAAGACATCATTAGTATACCATGGCCTGACAATTTCTTATGTAGTATAGTGGAGCATATGATCTTCTGAGACTTACAGTCAGTTGTAACAGTCTGTCAGGGAGTTAAATTACCAAAGGGCAGCACAATTTACTTTAAATAATTTTTCTGTCTTTCTAGAAAGAGTTTTCATTACTGCTATTTGTTTTCCTTCAAATATAGCTTTATCTTTTAAAAACAGACTTAATACAGCATTTTAAATTTTGATAATGAAGTTGGCTGGCCAGAAATTGATGTCTACTTATCATTATTTTATAAGCTTTTTTTTTTTTTTTTTTTTTTTCTCTATCCCTTCCACTTTTTCCCTCCATCAAATGGATTTGGAATTTTTTTTTTTAAATTTGGAACTTCTTGATTTTTTGCCTTACCTTGTATTTTGGCAGAAAAGTTTTGTTCCATCCATCTGGCAACAAAAATCATCATAGTTCTTTGAATTTGTTAAATCTAGTCAATTTAGATTTAATAGGGCAATTGTATCTTTGTAAAGTACTAATTAAAATGCTGTGGTTTGGCATTTGTTTAAAAGATCTCAACTCATAATGAATCCAGATTAGAACATACTGGAAATGTATTGCTAAGTGTTTATTAAGTACATTTATTTTTAAAAGAATCCTCAGTATACTATTTTATAATAAGCATGTGTTATTCCAGGCATGGATCTGCATAAATGATGATAGACCTGTAGTAAGCTTCAGGAACTGTTATGTTCAAGTGGCTATGTGTATCATTGCCTAACACCCGTGTTAGAGAAAGTTGTAGTTTAAAAGTCTTTGTTTGGATGATGATAATAATAAAATCTGCAACTACCTAAGCCAATTAGGAGGTTAAATAGCTATTCCCTTCTAGGCTAAAACTCATTTGTTTCTCATTGCCCTCCTCTCCTTACCGTCTCCTCAGTTATGGTCTCTCTTTTTGTTGTTTGTCCAATTGATACTCTGTCCCCTAAGAGAAGTCCTCACATCATAGCTTTCTTCAGCTCCTTGCCTCTGTCTCCTGCTCTTGTTAGCACTAGCACAGTCTTTGTTCCTCAAGTGCCCTTTTTGTCCTCAAGGTGAGTTATGAAATGTGGGGTCTGTCTGTATTTTTTAAGTCCCTTCCAACTCAGGAAATGCAGGAGAGGATCAGCACAGAAGGTGATATGGATCAATGGCAAACTGGTGTGGAGTGACAATGGACATGTCAGGGTGGTGGTGTGAAGACTGTAGCACTGATGCTGTTTCACTGAGTGGCAGAGGGATGGGAGTGGCAGATAGAAGGAGTGAGTGTGGTGGGCATGAATGAGGACAGTTTGGGTGTAGGTGAAACTAGGAGTTTCTGAGTTGGAAGAGTCAGAGAGACCTGCAGCAAGAAAAGTAGGGAGCTGAGTCAGAGCTTGATGTGAAAGAGCAAAGTAAGTGCTTTGGACCCAGCAACAGTTTATCACACCCCTGGATTACCAGCCTCACAAATTATGGACCCAGAGACTCCTCTGGAACAATATCTTAATGGAAAGGATGATTTTGACCTCCAAAAGGAAAACAGTGACTCTATGGGGTCATCCCCCTCTCTCATACTCTGTTTTCTTAAACACAATGGGACACCTCAAGCAAGAACTCAATTTCAGTACAAAGACTATCAAGTCCTCCAATTTAGGAATGTCAGATTTCCTTCCTCAGCCTCAGTCTGCTGCTTCCCTTTGCAAAATATCATCATTATCTCTCCATCTTGAAGGTTTTCAGTTCAGTTCTTTTATGCTGGTGGCTGCTGGTTTCCACTCATGCAGGTCCTCTCATGTGTTCTCCCTTCCCTTTCCCACACTGAGCTGCTCTTCGAGGTGTCTGTGTTTCATGCAGAGTAGTTATTAACCGTACTACAAACTGACTAGCTGTCTTTTCCATTGCAGATACTACAAAATATGTTTGATATGAAGTGTGTTATGGATGAACATTCAATCGTACTGGTCATGTTTAGAAAGGAA